AATCTACGGAATGCCCGCTATGCGCCACAAGCCCGCACATAGAGGACGAGAACACGAGGTTGTCGCAGATCGACACAAGTATTGCGCTGTCAGCAAATACCATAGACGCTATCTTTGGAGGGGAAGACCCGGATGCATCGCCATGCGTCGGTCAAAATGATGCTGGAGAGCCTGTGACACCGACAAGCACGAGACGAAGAGATACCGTCACCGGGGCGGTGGCGCGAATAAACTCGGGAGTTTTTTGTGGCTCGGTACAAGGGGATGTGAACATCATGAAGGACGAGGATAATGCAGATGAGTACGAGAGCATGGACTCGGAGTCGGATGGCTGTGGATCAGATGACGATGGTGATGTTGTGTTCAGGTAAGTTGATAATGACTTGTCATCCGATGAAGAAGAGGCGCCTCATATGGATGCAGCTTTTATTGATTGCTTGGGTGGTTCTCTATCTATCGAAGACATGAGCCCAGACACAGTACGTTCCATGGCATGGACCCCTGTATCCTCCGAGTACGAAACCGACAGCAACGCGTTCAAGGGTATGAGGAATCAAGAGGCTAGACCAGTGGAAGCGCTCCGTGCTAAAAAGGACTCGCAATTGGAATTGCTATTCTATTTTATGCCGACGAACCTGTGGACATTCATCACGAGCGAGGCAAACCGATACAAAAGGTCACACCTCGAGGAAAAGGCCCGTCAAGAACGCGCACGGCTTATTCGTGAAGGGCGTAGCGTACCAGGCCAATCGCTAAGGGATGTTCGCCGCCGCATACGAGTCGAACCTGATTACGTACCGCGCGAGGTTCTTTGTGTCATGGGTTTATTTGTAGCCCATATGCTCAGTCCAACCCGTCCGTTTTTAGATCATTGGGCTATGGCTGATGATGGCGCGCTTTCGGCGGGGCGGTTTGGCAATTTTATTCCTCGAAATCGCTGTACTTCTATCCTACGAGACCTACATTTCTGCAACAATGACACAGCAAATAAGAGGGACAAGTTGTGGAAGCTGCGAGCTATAGTTGACGTTCTTCAAAGGAAATTCCTATCTGCATGGTCAGTGACTAACATCATCTCATTCGATGAAGGTGTGCTTCCAGCAACGTTCAAACGCAACGGCACCCGAATGTTTATGCCGGACAAGCTGCATCGCTATGGCATCAAGATGTTCATGACGTGCGACGCAGTGTCTGCTTACTGCCACAGGTGCGTTATTTGTTTATAACTTTTGCAAAGTCGTAAGTTGCGACTTGATGGTCTGACACGTGCATTATGTTGTCACTTACGACTTTAGATTCGAGATATATGTAGGCAAGCGTCAAAACCATGAACGTGCAAGTCAGGCGTTTGATCACAAGACAGGAGCAGCGGCCGTAATTCGAAATTTGAAGGCTGTACTGGATGAGAACGACTCCGGATTTCGTATCATTATTGTCGACAGATTCTACACCTCACTCGCGCTCGCCATCCAGTTGCTTTCCATGTCGATCTACATGATTGGAACAATCATGACGTCGAGGCTGGGGTTTGACAAGAATGTCGTTGAACGACGGAAGACAAGACCAGCCACAGTTGAGCGCGGGTCATTCAAGTTCTCACGGTCTGTCGCAGTGCCCACCATGGTTGCATGCCACTGGTGGGACCGCAAACCAGTGCACTACCTGGCCACCAGGGTGTCAATGACCGAAGATAGCATCAAGAGAAACCTGAAGGCGGTGGGTCAGGCGACGTTCGGCTGTCCTAAACTGGTGACCGATTACTAACGCTGGATGGTCGGAGTTGATGTGCACGATCAACTCCGCCTCCAAACGTTCTCCGTCCAGACTTCTTTTAGGTTCTGGAAGTATTATAAAGGACTGTTCTTAGGTCTTTTTGATCTAGCGCTTGTCAACGCTTATCTGACACACAAGGAGGCCTGTCACCTTGACGGTGTCGCCCCTATGAAACGCGTGGACTGGTACAAGATGCTGAACAAGCAGCTCACTGACGAAGACTTCAAAACATCAGCGCCAAGACCGTCTCCGATCGCGCCCAAGCGTCGCCGCAACACTTCCCACGTCGTCCACAAGCAGCTTGATGACTGGGTGATCGTTTCGGGCGTTCAGAAGCGTCGCCAGCGCTCCTGCAAGGTGTGCTCTCTGTATCGAGGTGAGCAGAAGAAAAGCTACAAGACTACTTACTACTGCGAAGACTGCTCGCAGGGCGATACAAAGTGCTTCCTCTGTCCCAAGGCGCGCAGAGTTACGGATACAACGTGTTTTCAAGTGTGGCGCGTCAATTCCGAGTCACCTGGGTAGGCGTGTCGTTCTGCGCCGTGCACGCAAGGCTGCTGGAGTGCGAAAGAAGACTCGCCGGGAAATCCTGTCTGAGGAGAAGGAAGATATATAGTGGGTCTTTCGTACAGTTTCTAGTAATGCTAATGCATTTTGTTGAGTTTCATTTGATTGCTGTGATGTGTAGCTCCGGTTATAACTGTGTTTGTGGGTTATAAATCCGATCACATACGATCGGCTAAGTTGTATCTGCGAACTTGTAAGCTAGTGATGCTGAGGTACGTCGTAAGTGTTACGCCGTAGAAATCAGAAATCTCTTCATAACTTATAGTCCCATCTTAATGACCAGCCGAGTGGAAAGGACGGGTTGATACAAATTCCTAGATAATTGTATGCTGTAAGTTACGACGTAAAATAAGGCGGCTTGAGACCCGAATTTGCGGTAATAAAGGGGTTAATGTATCGCGAAATTGTAGGTAGACTACTGCTCTCGATCTCGTACGGAAACTGCTTAAGTCGATCGGGATCCACAGATAGGAGGTCTTCTCCGTTAGTTGCAAAGGCTAATTTTATGCCTACAATCCCCTGGTTCGGAATATCTGGACGACAGTCAGCATAATCCGGATACGTGTTGAAGTCAGCAACTGAGATGGAGGAATAATCTGCACTGTTTTTGACCGCCTGGAATTTGTGAAGACGCAGCACTAAATCCAACGTGATTCACACCTTTCTTTCCGCTCCGTTTCATCTGTGGTGCCAAGGACAAATTCAGCGTGTTAACCACGCGTAATATCCCTTCTGCAGTGCTACCAATCGCAACGTTTGGTGTGACGGGGTCACACAGCACCTTGTGCAGAGGAAGTTTATTTCCTCTAGAGTATACAAACTCTAAGTGAACGACCGTTCACGTGTCCCTGGTCTGAAGGGGACGAAGTACTCACTTGAGAGTACGATTAAGACTGAATGTATTTATAGGTAAACTTAGCTTGGTATCTAATACAAACTATAAGTTACCTATACTGAATCTAGGTAGATATGCAATGATTGGCTCCTAGAGCCCCTGGTACCATGTACCAGGTATCTCAAGAGTGACTGGGCACTCTTCATGTAACTTGGGTACACTTGGGGTATTGTACCTCGTTACATTTGGAGTGCCCCAGTCGTTCACAGCTCCAATTGCGACTGAACACATGGCCCCATCATTATCCAGTTTATCTGCGAGCGCTATTTCTAACTTGCTGTAGTCCCCGGCAGCCGAATCCGCTTGGCTCTCCTGTAATATCAGCCCGCTTTCTGAAATGTTTTAAATTAAGAAATAAGAAAAAGAATTTGTAAAACACAATTTATGTAGGGGCGATGTGGTGTCCAACTTGCATAATGAGCCCTCTTTTGGCGCGAAAATCGACGCGCGCTACAAAATATACTGCTTAATATTTGTACGTGAATGAAAAACACGCCCGCTCCGCACAGCCCCAAACATAGTCACAAACAAATTCGCTTCATCAAGCACACAAGCTCCCAGCCACAACTCCCACCAAATTGAAGACCACCATGGCCGCCGTCCAGTCACCATCGCCCTACCAGTATCATCTCTCAGACGAAACTCTATTCGCCGTTACCAAGGTGATGGAGGTGACGTGCGACGAGGAGACGTGCGCGCGGTGGTGCATGGAGGTAGAGCTTATAGACAAGATCAAGCTGTGCCCCCAGTGCAACGACCCGATGAAACCCTCATTCAAGAGGCTACGCTGGCACTGCTACCGCCGCATCAACCACGAAGAAGGCAAAGAGGTTACTCGGAGCATGCTGTCCAGCTCCTTCTTCAGTGAAGCCAAGGTGGGACTTCACCGAGCTGTGCGTCTACTGCTAGCATGGTGCATGCAGCTTCCCCATGACCAGGCAGGTGAGCTGGCCGATGTCTGCGCGAGAACTGTGCACACTTGGTACGCGTTCTGTCGATCCACCTGTTCGAAAGAGCTTCTCAAGGCAGAATTCAAGGTAAAGAATGCGTTATGTTGCTCAATGTTGCAGTGCCATGTTAAAGTTGCTTAAAGTTGCTTCTATGGTGTAGATTGGAGGCGACGGACATATCGTTGAGATTGATGAGACCAGTCTGGCCAAGTAGCGTAATTAGAATCGTGGTAAGCATTAACAAGAGTTTTGGTTATTTGGAGGTGTTGAGCGTGTTACAGGCCGTTGGTTTGGCCGAGTCGTCTACGACAAGCGCACGAAAGACACGCTTCTCCCAATAGTCAAACAGTTTATTAAACCTCGGCAAGTTTTTTATTTTCATTTGTACAATTATTGTGGGCTTTTGGTAATTTCAAATTTAAACTACTAATTTGTATTTTTTGTAGAACCAAAATTATGTCCGACATGTTCGCTACTTACGTGTGTGAGCGTGGGAATAAGCTGCATACGCTGGAAACTAACAGAATGCTCCTGAACATGGAATATACTCACAGCTAGTCAACCACAGCCTTAATTTCGTGGACCCCATCACTGGAACCCACACGAGCACTATTGAGGGGCTGTGGGAGACCCGAATCAAGAGGCACATCAAGTCCATGCGCGGCATGACTAAGAAGCGACTTGACGAGTACCTGGATGAGTATCTGTGGCGATCGTGGTTCTTCCCACCAAAAAACAAGCGTGGCCAAGTACATGGGAGGGCTCGTTGTTGCCATTATCAGAAACGAGTTATTCAGTTCTGTTTTTTTTTCTTATTTCTTAATTTAAAACATTTCAGAAAGCGTTACAGGAGAGCCGAATCAGCGTTTGCTACTACTTGAGAATTCTCGTAAACCGGCATACTGATGATAGCGACGCTACCGAATGCGCTGAGCTGGATATAAACCTTGCGGCAGGAAGAGAGGCAGTCGTGGCAACCACCTCGCATGATTGAATCCAGTTGGCTGTAAGCAAAGTAGCTGTGTTGAGCCTCAAAGAAGAATGTGGAGCTGGTGAAGTAGCCGGCAGTGATACGAACAACGAGCACCACTACCGGGGCGACCACGCAGCGTCCAGCGACGCCACATACGGACAGAACCACCGATGGATGAGTGCTGCTTTGTCGCTTTTGCTCTGCATAATAATTGAAGCATCTTAAACGGATGCGAACGAACCGTCGTCGTACCAGTGCCACTCTGGTAATAAATACTACTACACTGTACCAGAAAAAAAACGCATGTCTACTTCGCGAATTGTTTTTGGCTTCTTCGCGAATGACGCCTGGAAAAGGAATGGGCAAGAGGCATTTCCGCGCACAAATCAGTTGGCGGAGTGAAAGACAACTGCGGTTACTTTCCCTTTAGACACGAACCCCAAATGGGAAAAATTGGCCGGCGAAGCAAATATGTGGATGAGTATGCCGAAGCGTCACAAGCAGCTAGCCTTGCGCGATTGCGGACATTAGTACGCGGCGGTGTAGCTTTCGATAAGGAAGAAGAACTGAGGTCAGCCGCGTGGACAGGTCACCTAGCAGTGGTGCGGTATCTTACTGATGAGTGTGGCAGTGATGTGAACGCGGCCAACGACGCTGGAGAGACCGCACTGATGAAGGCTGCCTCAAACGGTATGATAGAAGTCATTCGATTTCTAGTTAACGAATGCTCTGCTGATGTGAACGCGACGAACCGAGAGGGAGATACAGCGCTTATGAAGGCCGTTTATAGTGGCAAGATTGACGTCGTCCGGTATCTCGCTGAGGAATGCGGTGTGGACGTGAATGCTACAAGTGACGATGGAGAAACCGCAGTGATGAAAGCTGCTGAATTCGACAGATTTGATATTCTTCGGTATCTCACTGCGGACTGCGGCGCAGACGTCAATATTGCAAGCAAGAATGGCGTAACAGTACTCATTCAAACCTCAGGTTATGGTAGAATTCACGTCGTCCGGTATCTAGCAGAAATTTGCGGCGCAGATGTTAACGCTCAGGACAAAAACGGAGAAACAGCGGTGATCAAAGCAGCAGCATTTGGCCAAATTAACGTCGTCAGATATCTCGCTGAAAAATGCAACGTCGACGTTAATGCAGGAGGATTTTGCGGATACACAGCACTGATGCTTGCCGCAAACAACGGGGAAATGGAAGTCGTCTGGTATCTCGCTGAACAATGCGACGCAGACGTGAACGTTGGGAGCGATCATGGCGCCACGGCACTATTGATGGCCGCTGAAATGGGGAAGAAAAATGTAGTCCGGTATCTTGTTGAACGACGTGGCGCGGATGTGAATGCCAAGACCAACGACGGGTACACCGCAGTAACGAAAGCCTCTGAGAACGGACAAACCGAGATTGTTAGATATCTAGTCATAGAACGCGGCGCAGATGTTCATATTAAGACCAAGAACGGGGATACTGCACTTCGCGTGGCGGTTGATCGTGGATTCCAAGACATTCAGCAAATACTCATGCCTTATCTCCAACCGCCTCCCCAAGTCATAGCAAATGATTCTTCGGATGATACCGTTATTGACAGCCGATCCGGTCTTCCAATTATTTCTCCTTCTGAGATCGCGTTGATCTTCTTCAGCCAAAATGGTAATACTGGAGGTGATTTCCGTGCTAAGTGGCTAGATGCCGATGTATCTGTCAAACTATTTGTGCCTACTTCGTCTCGCTCTGCGTTCGAGAGTGAAGTTCGCCTATGGCAGCAGTTGCGCCATCCAAACGTGATCAAGATGTACGGTGCGTGCACTGCGGGTCCGAATCTGCAGTTCTTCGTGTGCGAGTACGCCAGCCAGGGATCGCTCAGTGAATTGACAGAGCCCGACCGGTTTACGGAGACGGTGATGTGGAAATGGCTGCATGAGGCAGCGCTAGGGCTCGAGTATCTTCATGAGCGGGGCCTTATTCACGGAGATCTTCGCTGTAGTAACATTTTGATAGGCAGCGATGGGATGGCGAAGCTGTCGAACTTTGGCCTGAGCAGTTCAATGAACGGAGTGTCACCGCGTACTGCTGCGGCACAACGGTGGCAAGCCCCAGAGGTATTAAAAGGAGAGACACCGTCACATCAATCGGATGTGTATTCTCTGGGAATGTGTATTCTTGAAGCTGCAACTGGGGAGAGGCCATGGAGCATGAAAGATGAAGGAATTGTCAGGTTTTCGAAATTTAGGTGGATACCGGAGGAAATTAACAATTGTTACGGGCCTTATTGCTCTCTGGAGGATAGTCGCAGCTTAGTATGGCGCATGTGCTGCCAAGACCCTCACAACCGTCTTAACCTTTCATCTGTCCGCTATGAACTTGAGCAGTTATCGATTAAAGAGAGTTGCGATCTAGCCCAACCTGAACACGAACCCTCAAGCTCATTTGATACGTACGATAGTGGAAGCCTGAACGAACTATGGCACAAGTTGTTATCACACATGGATAAATGCGGCGATATCCAGCATCACGGAATGTTGGACAACCTGAAAAAAATATGCGAACTTCTGCAAAATTCAACGCACTCGTCAGTGTTATTCGAACGATTTCATACACTTCTTACCGATTTTTATAAGATGATCAGGATGTCGCCCGAACAGGCCCGAATCATGCGACTCTCTTCGACACGTTTAACCAACAACAGTCTGTACGCTTTCGAATGGCGCGTCAACTCACTCATGGCAGCTTTGGGAGAGGCAAACGCAGGGAAGAAGAGAGAAGAGCTATGGCAGAAACAGCGGTGTGAACAGGTCGAGGGGTTTGTTTCTGGTCTGTTTGACATTTTTCTTGTGCTAAGAGATTTGAAGTCATCGGAAGAAAGGTCACTATTTCTAACGAATTTGAAGACAGAACTAGAGGATCCGCAGGGCAATTATACAGATGAACAGCGTGAGGTGTTGAAGAAGACATACGAGCAAGTTACCAACAAGCTGGAGTGCGAAGGGGGTTCTTCTCTGGTCCCGAAATGGTTCATTCCTTGGTACGAATTACTTGTTGACGAGTGGAGCAAGTTGGGCGAAGGTGGGTTTGGGAGTGTGTTCCGAGCCAAGTGGCTGGACTCCGAGGTGGTGGTGAAGCGTGTGATTTTAGCTGGCTCGGATACCAAGAACGACATGTCCATACCGGTATCCGATCTTTCCTTGTCAACGTTATCAACCTCGACAGACCCTACAGTATCTGAGGCCGAAACCAACGCAATCAAGAGAGCAGAGACACTAAAGATGTTCCAGCGAGAAGTTGTCATGTGGTTTGGACTTAGCCACCCCCATGTGATTCTGCTTTTCGGTGCCTGTCATGTCGGCAGACCTTTCTTTATTTGCGAATACGCCACCAACGGGACGTTAATCAGCTACTTGCAACGGAATCCTGATGAACTGTGGACGAAGTTACACGAGGCAGCGTTAGGCGTTCAATATCTCCACGCTCGTGTGATTGTCCATGGTGACTTGAAAGGAAACAACATCGTGATCGGTAGTGACATGAAAGCAAAAGTTACGGATTTTGGTCTGAGTTCTGTGGCGAGCAGTAGAGCCCAGCCCGTGATTTCAGCGGCGTGGCAGTGGCTCGCCCCAGAGTGTTTTTCGAGTACCAAAGCAGCTAGACCAACATTTGCCTCTGATGTCTATTCGCTGGGGATGTGCATTGTGGAAGCATTGCGTGTTGTGGAGGCAGTGAAGTCTGGAGAGGGGAATCAGTCGTGCTTACCGTGGAGAAATCTCGACAACTTCGCAGTTCGATACCATGCGTCAAAAGGGACGTTGCCATCTCAGCCCAAAATCTGCGAGGAAAGTCAGTGGAATTTGGTCAAGCGAATGTGCTCACTGGAGCCAACAAATCGGATTAAGATTTCAACTGTTGTCGATGAGCTTGCCAGGTTTGCGAATATGGACGACGACGACAACCAAGAGCATGATCTCACCCCGACAGAACATACAGAGCAGAAATCTATCCGCACAGTTACCATACAAGCAAAAAAGCTTCTGCGTCACCTACGAGCAGACGCGACTCAGGACACTGATGTCCTCTTACGCTATATGTCACTATGGAAACGTCTCGGATTGGTGCAAGGACAGATGAAGAGTCAACCTGAAGTGTGTCGTGCTGCGTTCGATTCACTCGTTACCGACGCTGGTTCCTTCACGATGGAACTACAAAATGCGAATGAATCGCTTGTCGCATTGGCTGAAATGACTATGCGGTACTATGCATTAGATCGTCGGTTGGACAAACTGTGCGAAGCATACTGCATTGATTGGAAACGCAATGATGATGATATAGCGATAAGTAGAAACTATCGACGCACATCGTCCATGCCCCGTGGACGGATATGGCGATGACGTAAATTTCGTGATAAAGATTAAGCTGTTAAAGATTTTATCTCTTGCAACACGGTAGTACTGGCTTCTCCAAGGGAGGAGGGTTTACAGCGCGGTCTCGTCTTTTATGATTTAAAAATAATACTTGTTTGTAAAGTTTGGTGACCGCAAAAAGCACACAACAGCAGGGCCCTGGTCGACTCCTAGCATTATTCTAGGATATGCCATGCCAACATCCTGGGTAGTGCGAGGCTGCGTGACACAAGAGACTTCAGCAGGGTGAAGAATATCTGTGGCGCAAGACTTCCCGAAAGCTCCAGGAACACCACCCTTTTCCACCTTGTGACACGCGAACGGACAGTCTTCGATTCGACTTGTCCATTTTGGAAATCACTACCAAGCACGCAATCACGATAAAGGCTTAGCCTTCTCCATCATGGAGTCCATCGACCACGCGGTCCAAAGGCTCCACCAAATCTATACCTTGCAGAATGTCATCCGTCGTCGACGCCATATTAACCTCAAGTCCCACCAACGGTTGATGGAATTCTCCATAGAGCTGCTAAATTCGGAACCTCTTCAGGGCAATCCCACGCTACAGCGTACCGCCGCCATCCAAAAATTCTCAGATGCAGTGGCCAAGTTCTCGTGGTACGTGCAAAACCACTATGACAAGAACCGAGTCGTCCGCGTTTTCAATTTTACCAGAATGAAGAAGCAACGACTAATTATCGCGGATGAAGTCTACGATCTCTTCCGAATGTTGAATCTCGCCGCTAATGTGGCGGTGTTAGGAGGCCAGGCTGGTGCTTCTGTGAGCGCAGCGATGCTCCCGACTAGGCTTGACGATGCGCACAGCGATTTTCCGACCCGCTCGTGATGATATCCATGCCGATCAGGAGCCCAAAATGAAGCTGCAAGTGGAGCGTGAAGGAGAAACGCACATCGTCCTCAACTATGTATATCTCGTCTATGCCAGCTCGGCCGCACGTCCTGTGCGGCCCAGTGCAGTGGACACGGGTACCCGAAGGTCGGGCGAACCCAATATAAGAATGAAGATACTATTTCTAGTGATTTCAGAAAAGCAAGAAATCGACAAATATAAGGATAGGGTGCCCCTTTTCTCTTTCAAACGGCTATTTTCTTAGAAAATGGACCCTCATTCCGACTCATGGGAAGGAATGGGTACCCGAAATGAGGATCCGAATGGATTTCGGTCAACCGAAAGTGATGCCAGACTAGACACGGGTAACCTAACAGTGATAGAGAATTCATTCGGATGGACTAGGTAAACCGAACTTTGTCATTTGCGAGCTCTGGCAGGAATGTCTCTCTGAGAGGTCGAAACACACAGTAAGGGCTCTCACGTAGCAGTTGTAGAATCATTCTGCACTGAACGGCACGACCTAACTGGCTGAAATTTCCATTCTTGTTGAGGCGACGCCCCCTCCATAGTTATGCAACTAGTATATATACCGAAAAACTTATCTTACACCCTTTTGCAGTATTAGTTTTGAGAATCGGTGTAGGGTTTCAATTTATCACCCGTGCTTCTGGGGAGCGGAAAGATATAAAATACCAGAGGATAGGGCTTGATGATTACAGATAGATCACCTCCCGCGAATGAATTATTAACAGGCGTCGCGCAATTCGTGCGTGACGCGTTGCAATTAGCCGCGGACAAACAAATCGAGAACACGGACAAATGG